CTTAAGCGTCCCAATCTCGGATTACGATAAATTATAATTTTAAATCGATATGTCACAGGTGTCGCGTGTACTACGCCCGATCGAGTCGTTCGAGGCGTGTCGATCACTAATGTACATGATTCTGCGTTAAAAACATACGGCTAATATTTTCATGTAGCATCACGTTATCGGTTTACGTCACAATAGACCGCCCGCGATCGGCAGTTATGATACGAGTCAGACAAAAGGAAATAAAATTACAAAATTTATACCCCGCAAACACTTAATCATTCGTCGAAGAATATTTCGAAACTGTCAACAGGATAAGGTTATTTATAGATAATTGGTAACGTTGTCGACCGCGTTTGCAGCGTGTTACTATGAAAGTACGCGCTAGAAAACTCTGCTATTGGATGCATTATCGATACCTTATTAAAATTTAACGATATTTATCGATAACATTAGCTTTAGTTTGTGCTGTAGAGCGATTCAAAAAATATGATTACGTCATACGAGTGCTTCCAGGAAAAATTTGACGCATCGACTGCCCTGAGGTTCTCCGGTGATTGGCGTCATAAATATTTTGAAATGTTAAACAGCGTAAAGGTTATATCTAGCGGTTAAAGGATTATGTTGCTACTGATTATCGGCATCGAAACGTTTATCGTTAACAGTTAACGTCGTTATAAAATTGATTTGCGGTCATTTTTAATAGTAGGCATTAAAAGTGGCATGGAACCATCAGGAACGCGGAACGGGCACTGTCCCTAAGCTGACGCTGCACGATACGTACGTTTCATCGTTTCCACGCAACCGTGCCGATGCCAATTACCGGAACAATGATCGACCGTGTTGCAACAGAATCCAGTTGCACCGAGTTTGTTTCATAATTCGAACTCTACCCCGTCACTGACACATTCTCGAAAACCGAGGTTATGTTATCGACGAGCCGGGCGTTCTTTCAAATTCATTGAAAAAACCGTAATGACAGCAGGGTGAACGTTCTCCGTTTCTGGTCGAACGCCGTCAGCACGCGTGATACGGTAAGGTCGGTAAAACGCGAACATTCGACGAGACGAAACTCAACTCAACTTACACTTGATCAAGATGACACCGTTATGCAGCTCCTCCATCTCGCGGAGGCGAGCGATCACCCTCGCGTATCGTCCTCCAGGTTAAATCACTTGTTCGTTATCGAGCACCGGCTGGTCCGTGTCTTTCGTTTCGTGTGCGCAACGTGTTCGCGATTCGAGTTCGCAGACCAGGAACATTCACGCGCGCGCAAGCTCGCGTTCCCAAGAGTCGCGTTCGCGGAACGACACTCGGCGTGGAAACGCGACGGACGAGTTAAAAAAAAATCACCGCGCACACGTGGTCACGCGGCCAGCCGCGGGCATAATTAATATCGTGGCGGCATGCACCGATAAGAATGCGTCGCGTTCGACGAAGAAACAACACCACCGAAACCGAGTAAACATGGCCGCGCGCGCGCGCCT